TTTTTTATAGTGTGGTGACCAAAACTGGATGCAGGACTCTAGGTGTGGTCTTACTAGGGCTTTATAGAGTGGTATTAGTACCTCACTTGATCTTGATTGTATCCCTCTGTTAATGCAATTTAGGATTGCATTGGCTTTTTTGGCTGCCACTGCACACTGCTGGCTCATATTTAACCCGTCTTTGGCTTAAATCATCTTTGATTTTCATCTTTGGCTCTGGATGAGTGGCATTCCCCTGGACTGAGCTGAACCACAATTGGGGGAAGGGGGATCCTGCTGGGCTCAGGCCTTGCTCACGGTCACTCAGGCCTCAGTCGCTTCTCGTCTGGATTACTGTGATAATCTCCACATGGGGCTGCCCTTGAAGACCAGAATGTGGCAGCTCATGCATTGATGAGTGGCCCTCATTTTGCCTTTTCAAAAGCACCTTTGGGATTACCATGACCTGGGTGATTGACAATCTCCCAAGATGTTTTCTGCAGAGCGCTTCTCACCAGCCCTTACAGAATACAGAATAACTTGAGTTGGAAGGGACCTTGGAGGTCCAGTTGTCCCTCTTTCTTGCTGAAGGATGCCCACACGGTGGTTTCTGAACCCGGCCCTGCGCCCTCCTCTCCAACAGCACGTAGGAGCTGCTTGGCAAATGGGGGGAGGGGGAGAGAAGGTCCTTCCTTTAAACCCTGACTCCTTTGGACCTCTCAGCCAGGAGCAGGACACACGTGTGAGCAGGTGTGTCCTGAAAGCCCCTAAGAACTATAGTGGTGCTTCTAAGTTTGTGAACACTTTTGGATTTTCAGCATTTCTACATAGGTACAAGGTAAAAATAGATAGAGAAGCAAATTAAACAAAATAAATCAAAAGCATTATTCTGGTTCATTTAGTGAGAAAAATAATCCAAAGCTACATATTTGTGTGTGGCAAAAGTATGTGAACCCCCAGGATGATCAGTTCATTTGAAGGGGGAATTAGAGCCAAGTTTTCCATCAGTGAGAAGCTAATCAGTGAGTGTGGGAGGTCCTGCTTTATTTAAAGAGCAAAATTCTTTAAATTCCGGGTATTCCAAAAGTCTGATCCTCAGGATGGAGGTATGCGGGTGTATCTCTAACAGGAGATTTCTGAGGACTTCCAAAAGCATTTGATGACGCTCATCAGGATGGAAAATGTTACCAAACGGTTTCCAAAAAGTTTGGAATTCACCAGCTGGCTGTTAGGCAGATCATGTGCAAATGAGCCAATTCCCGGGAGTGCTCCACCAACCAACCAACCAACCAGTGTCACTCCCAGAGCAGTCCTCCAGATCTCAAGGACTCGAGTAACCTCCAAGCAAGTCAAGGTCTCTCTTGCATTGGCAAAAGTCAGCATTCCCGAGATCCCCTCAAGAGACTCTTGAACAAGAGCACAAGCAGAAAGCCACTAGTCTCCAAGAAGAACATGGCTGCCCATATAGAGTTTGTAAAAGGCCATCTGGATAAGCTAGAAGGGAGAATGTTCTGTGGATAGAGGAGCTCAACATAGGACCTTCTGGCCTGAAAGGAAAGTGTGACGTTTGGCGGAGGGCGAACACCGCATTCAGCGTAAGGACCTGCTTTGCGGTCTCTGGGTCAAAAGGGCTTGCCATCCTTGAAGGAACTATGACTTCTGAGCTGTACCAGCAAAGGTTGGGGCCTCTGTCCACCAACTGAAGCTCAAGAGAAACTGGGCCATGCACCCAATGACCCACAGCATCCAATTCACACAACCAAGGAATGGCTAAACTCCTCACATTAACCCCATAGAAATGCTGTGGGGGGAAGAGTCTGACGCAGGAAGGTCACACAGGGAAGGCCAGCAATATCCCTGAGTTGAAGCTGTTCTGTGCAGGTATCTCCCTCTCCCAGAAACAGAGTCAGGCGTCTAAGCGCGCCCTCCTCCAGGTTTTAAAAACACTCTTCTTTTTTTGCTTCATTTCCAGAACTTCAGCCTTCTTAGGACAGAGCCCAACCAACAGCATCCACCTGGCTGGGAAAGGGCGACTTCACGAGAGGAGTGCTGCATTGGCAGCAGGGCTCCCGGGAAAGAGGGACGCCCTTCCTTTCCTAAGACTGGTTAGACGCAACACAGGTTGTGGAACGGAGTCACTGGATGTTGGCCATGAATCAACAATCTGAGTTTGCCTAGCTGTTGGCTAAGCCGCCACCCCCACCCCACCCACACGCAAACAGAAAGAAACTAATGCAGCCATGACGGTCGTGCACTAACTTGGCTAAACACGTCCCACCCAACCCAAAGCTGCTGCCACTCGCAGTCTGGGCCTTTGAGAAGGAAGCGCTTTGTCCAGGTGACAGGTAACAACAGCATTTCTTAGAATACCTTCAAGCAACCTGCAAGACTCAGCGCACCTTGTAGCTATTTAAGCCCCGTCAAAGTTGTGGCAAGAGTTGCCCCCTCCCCCTCCGGCCTCCTGCAAAGAGATTGGTGCCCCCTCCCTTGTGCTCACTCAGAAACAGCCCATTCATCCTTGTCCACCCGAGTCTTTTCTCTTCCTTGGGGCTCCCCCTCCCCCCTTTGCTGCCACTAAGAGAGGCTTCTGAAAAGCCTGAGAGCCATAAAAAGGGGGCAGGGGAGGGGATGCAGAGGGCTGGGAATTGCAGAGCACAAGAGGCCGGACCCTGCTTTTCCCAGCAGCGAGACCCCCAAGCGACCCTTCCCTTAGGAAGCTGTGCCCAGAAAGCCTCTGTTGGCAGCCAAGGGGCACTTTTCAAGGACTTGGGGTGTGTGTGTGAGGCCAGAGGCCTAGGATCTCATGCCAGTTTAAAATGTTCTGCCTGAAAAGGGTGCAAACACGCTCGCCGTCCCAGGTCACATTGCAGGAACTGCTCCATTGCACAACTTTGAATGTTCCACCCTCTGCTGCTGGCTCAGGGCCAAGAGAGGGCCAGGAAGTGGGAGGGGAACAAAGCACACAAAGCCATTTCATTGAATTGCCTTTACTGCTCTCCCAGCCGAGGGGCTCTACTGCAGGCTTTTACAAACACTTCAAGCTATTTACAATCGGGGTGTAGTGTTTTCCTGCCCCCACCCACTCGAGAGGAACCTGGAAAGTCTAATCTGGAACAAGGTGAGCCCTGGGCACAGGGGAGAAGAAATGGACAGGGGCTTCCCCAAGTAAACACAGCATGCAAAAACAAAACGGCAGCTGGCAATGAGGATGAGAGACAAATGCCAGGGATGGGATGGCTGGATCCAGACGCAAATGAGAAGCTGTTGGAGGAGGAGGCTGGGGGGAGGGGCTGCCTTTTCCACCTGAATGGGGGAACGGGGGGGGGGGCAAGGGGCGGGGCGGGAGACGCCTGTGCACGGAGGGCCCTGGCTCTGGGTGAAAACGCTCCCTCTCGGTTGGCACAGCTCTGCCTCGAGAGGGACCTCTGGCTGCAGAGACCAGGCAATGCAGGCTCCCTGAGATGGCGGGTGGGCTGGAGGCTGCTGGGTGTGTGTGTGTGTGGCAAAGACAGGCAGGGGCTGCTCTCAGCGTGGCCACTGCAGCCTTTCCAGGCCAGCCTCCTGCTGACAGCACAAGGATGGTTGCTAGCCAGGCCCGGCAGGCAGGCAAGCCTTGCCAAGACAGTCCTGGGACTCCAGGGTGGAGAATCGCCCCACCCAAAGAGCAGAGGAGCAGCTGGCTCGCTGGTGATGGGTGGAAGGGTCAGCCTTAGGGAGCTGCCCTCTCTTGGCCACTGCTAACTAGTCCGCGCTGGTGGGCTGCAAAGGGAAGTGGCGGGAGGCTCAACCCGGGGCACGAGATCCACGGCAGCCAGGAAGGACTTGGGATGACATCCAGCAACACTAAAACAAAGTCAAGAAAGAAACAGGATGGGATGAGACAGAAGAAACCACAAATGAGATGATGCTATCAAACCAAGTGGGGGTGGGGATGACAGCTGCCCTCACTCCGCAGACATCCCCCTCCAGCTGCTGCCCTTCTCCATCTCCTCCTCCCGGGAGGCCGGAAAGGAAGAAGCACAGACAAGCAGCAGGCCGGAACCTGGTAAGTGGTGGGACACTGGGCAGGTGCGACCACCTGCAGCAAGGCCTCCTTCCTAGCCTCACAACCTTCAGTGTTTCACCTCCAGCTCACCAGAAATAGAACACGGGGGGGGGGGGGGGTCCAGGAGGGGCCCTGGGTCCCCAGTTACCTCTTGAGGAGCCGACTGATGCGGATCTCCCGGGTGGCTGATGTTGGATTTGCTAGCTCCGGAGAACCAGCCGAGGAGTTCCCGCAGGATCAAGGGGTCTTCTTTGGCAGGCCTAGAAGAAACAGTCTGAGAGAAAGAGCAGACGCTATGAATGAGCAGCCGGGTGAGGGGGAGCAAAATCTGGGGGGAAGGGTCAATAGCTTTCATCAAGCCGCTTCCTTATCAAAAGACCCTCCCCAGATGCATGCCATCATGGTAGAATGCCGCACAGGAGCATACTCCCCCTCCTGAAAGCAGAGAGCCACACCTCCTGGATCTTACAGCCATCCCCCTGCAGGGGCAGTACCCCAGAGAGATGGGCCTGAAGGCTGCCCCCTTAAACTGTGCTCCCAACCACCCACAAGGCCAGTCAGGCCCCTGGCGCTTCCCAGCCAAGACTGCCAGCCGCATGCAGTACCCCACACCCTGCTAAGCTTCCCAGGAGACAGAGCAGTAGAGTGGAGCGCAGAGGAGGGTCAGGGTCTGCAGAGCCAGGCAGCGTGAGAGGCAGCCGTGGAGGAGAGGCAGCAGAGGAGCAGCAGCGGTGGGCTCCTCTGAGGGGCAGCAGCAGCGCAGCAGGGTCCCTGCACTTACGGTCCAAATGCAGAGTCGCCCAGGTGTGGAGGGCAGCCAGCGAGGTCGGTGGAGCAATGCCCAGGAGAGTCCCGTGCCCGTCCCTTGGTGGAAGGCCAGCGAAGAGAGCAGCCGAGGGCACGGTGGAGGGAGCCAGGAGGGCAGATATGTGGGAGACGCTCCCGCCAGCCAATCTTCATGGAGGCACAGGCAGCCTTTGCATAGGCAGGTGATCTGGAGGCACCACAGTAAGGATGAGTGAAGAAGAGGATGGCTGAAAGGGTTGGTGCCAAACTGTGACAGTAGCCTGGCATGGGTGAGGGCAGGGTGGGGAGGAAAGGAGCAGGTTCCAGGGGGCATGAAGCAGCATGGGAAGCACTGATGCGCCTGCATTCTCTCTCTCTCTCTCAATATACAAATACTGTCAGAACCATCATATATATTAATATATTAGTGTAGTCTTTTTGGTTAAAGTTTAGGCACTGCTTTGGAAGGGAACTCTGTGTTTTAAAAAAGAGCAACAGTAGTAGTAATAAAAATATTGGTAGAATTAGCCGGTAGCTTGATCACATGCAGAGCGAAAGGAAGGCCATGTTATCTCAGCTTGGGAAGGGTGAGGGGAAGGGAGGGAGATGGGGCAGGGAGATGGGGCAGGGAGGGCCCTTTAGGCTACAGGCAGCTGTTTTCCAGGCAGTTCAAGAGGGGGACAATTTCCTTTCCACTCATAGTTCCCCTCTGGATGGGCCAGGGTGCCACGGAGGTCAGCTGCATCTGTGCTGCTGCTGGTGGGGCCTGGTGCATATCTGCGCCCATAACTTGACGAACTGTAGGAGGAGGAAGAGAAGGAGACGGAGAAGCCGGAGCCAGTGGCATCAAAACTTCCTCGCCTGGAGCCTGATCTGGAACCTGTTCGTGAACCTGACCGGGAGCCAGAGGTGGAACCAGAGCCGCTGACATTGTAAGGACTGTAATAGCCTTTGCTAGATTGCGAGGAGGCTTCCAGGAGACGGAGGCCCGTCCCTTCTTCAATCATGCTCCTGTCCATCGCGTCCTTGTAGGAGATCTTCAGCTTGGTTTTGGGACAGGTCAAGTACTTGGAGTAAGTGTTGACGTCCCGAAGTTTCTGGGCAGTGCGTGCATCGACGGTGTTCTTCTGCAAGGCCTCATCGAGCGAGACCCGTCCAGGCACCTCCGGCTCAATCAGCCCACCGGTCAGATACTGGACTTCCAGGAACCGCTGGCCGGCCTCATAGTACAGCCAGCCCTTCTTTAAGGCTTGGGCAGCAGACATCTTGGTCTTGGTCCTTGGATCCTCAAAGCCGTAGAAAGCCTTTTGAGCAAGGTTGATTCTGTCTACCATGATCTTGTCCACCAGGCTCTTATTAACAGCATCTGCAACAGGGAATTTCTCCCCTGAACCCGGGTCGATGATCCCACCTGTGCAGGCCTGGGCCTCCAGCAGCCTCTGGCCTGTAATGTTATCCACAAGGTTACGGCGCATGGCTTCCGTAATGGATACTTTTTCCAGGGTATCTGTGTCCAAGATGCCAGCAATCGGGCCAGTCTCTTCAGTGGGATCGCTCCAAGAGGTCAGCTGGGGTCTGGCATGAGCAGGACTTACGGAATAGGAAGAGGAGGAGCCCACGGAGGAAGACCTGGATCGGAATCCACTTACATTGCCAGACAACATGTCTGCAAACTCCGTAATGGACAAGGTCCCTGAGCGATACTGGTCCAGGGCAGACTGGTCTATCAGGCCTTTGGCCAGGGCGTCATCTATGTCGTACTGCCGCCCTGACCTCCGGTCAATGATCATGGACTTGACCACTCCATCAGAGGAGGAGATGGTGATTTCCTCCCACTCACACTCTTGTTCCGAGAGCTCCAGGTAGGTCTGGTGGTCAATGAGGCCTTTGCGATAGGCTTCATACACGGACATTTCCTTTCCGGTCTCTGGGTCCACAATCACCACCCTGCGCTTGCGGACAGAGGATTTGGAGGAGGTCTTCCTTTCCCGCTTCTTCTCTTTCAGAGGCAGGAGGCACAGCCCAGTCTCGGGGTCAGTGATACACCTTTCCATCAGTTGCAGATAAGTCAGGTTTTCCTCGGTGTTTGGGTCAAAGAACCCCTTGGTGTCATCACTTGGGTCCAGGAGGATTTCATTCATTTCCTCGTCAAAAAGGCCCCTCTTGTATGCCACTTCTACCGGCAAGCGATGGCTCTCCTCGGGATCAATAATGCCTCCTGTAGCAATTTGAGCTTCTAGCAATCGGATCCCATGATCTTTCAGGATCAACCCTTTCTTCATGGCTTGGAAAAGGGATATTATCTTGCCAGAGTAAGGGTCCTTGTAACCTATCACTGCCCGCTCAGCTGAAATCAACTTATCTTTGAACTCTGGGCCTACAATGCCCATGCGCACTGCCTCCTCCACAGTTAGCTTGAGACCCTTGATGGGGTCAATGACATAGCCGGTGGCCGCCTGGGCCTCCAGCAACTCAAAAGCTGTCCCTGGCCGGAGAATGCCTTTCTTCATGGCTTGATATACAGACAACCTTTCCTTGGTTGAGTCCATGTAGACTCCAGCAATACAGCTGGTACCCTCTAAGAACTGCTGCAACTTTTTAGAGACCTCTTCCACTGAGGTTAGGCCTTCCTGGAGTCGCTGGGCAGTGGCTTCATCCATGACTTTTGATCGTACCAACTCCTCCACTGTGATTTGCTTCCTCAGCCCCCTGAAAGTCAGCTTCCGAGTGTCGCAGAGGGATAGCAGGAGGCAGCCTGTATTCTCATCCTTCTTACATCGCTTGAGGATCTGAGCATAGCTGAGCTTTTCATCTGTGGAGGGGTCTGTGTAGCTGCGGATCTCACTGGGCTCAGAAAGTCTGTCAAAGGTCTCTCGATTGAAGTAACCACGTTGGTAGGCAATTTCTAAGGGCAAGTGAAAGCCCAGGTATGGGTCTATAATTCCTCCTGTGGCCAACTGGGCATCTAGCAATCTGAGGGCTTCTTCAGATGGGATGAGGTCCTTCTTCATGGCTTGGAAGAGAGAGATTTTCTGCTCGCTGTAAGGATCTCGGTAGCCTGTCACAGCTCTTTCGGCAGATAGAAGTCGATCATGCATTTCTGGGCCCACCAGCCCTTTCCTCACTGCCTCATCTACTGTAAGTCTGTCGTTCTTCATAGAGTCAATAATGAAGCCAGTGGCAGCCTGGGCTTCCAGCAAGGACCGAGCAACTTCGTGGCTAATCAGTCCCTTTTTGAGGGCCTGGTAGATGCTGAGCTTCTGCTTGCTGGAGGGAATGTAGATGCCAGCAATACAGCCAGTGCCATAGAGGTATTTCCAGATGGTCTCGATCTCCAGAATCTCTTGGATGGTCTTGGAGCCCTGCTTCAGTGCATTAAATATCTCCAGAGAGATGATCCTGGCCTCGTAGAGGTCTTCAGCAGTGATGCGGCGCCTAATGTAATCATAGGAGGTGACGTCTTGCTGGCGGACAATCTCGGTTTTCTCTATAATCTCAATGATGATGATGATCATGCGTTCCTTCGTTAGGTTGCCTAAACGGAACTCTTCCATCAATTTTTTACGTTGCTCTTCAGGGAGGAGATTTGAGTTCATAATTTCCCAGAGGGACATGGAGGAGCCAGCAAGCTCTCCTGTTGGAATGTCAATTTGGGTTTCTTCAAACATCTTCTTGGTTTCTGCCTCCGTGTACACTTGAGTTCTCTCCACCACCGCTGGCCGTTCAGACTGCTTCAAAGGCAGGAGACAAAGGCCAGTCTCGGGGTCCTCAATGCATCTCTCTTTCAGCTGCAAGTAGGTAATATTCTCCTGGGTGTTGGGGTCAATGAAGCCCCGGGTATCATCTGAGGGATCTGAGAGAGTTTGGTTGATCTCTTCATCCAAGTAGCCTCGCTTGTAGGCCACTTCCACAGGAACACGGTGGCTGTGCACGGGGTCAATAATGCCTCCTGTGGCAATCTGGGCCTCCAGCAGGCGGACAGCATGCTCCCTGACAATCAGCCCCTTTTTCATAGCCTCAAAGAGGGAGATGGTATTTCCAGAATAAGGGTCTCTGTAGCCAGTGACGGCCTTCTCAGCAGAGAGCAGCTTTTCGTGTAGCTCTGGTCCCACAAGGCCAGCTTTCACCGCTTCGTTGACGTGCAACCTCTGGTTCCTTATTGCGTCCACCATAAACCCAGTGGCTGCCTGGGCCTCCAGCAGGACAGTTGCTGTGCTGGGCAGGAGCAGATTCTTCCTCAGCGCCTGGTAGATGTTCAGCTTCTCCTTGCTTTTTTCGACATAGATTCCGGCAATGCAGTCGCTCCCTTTCAGGTATCTCTTCACCACATCCACTTCGGCAATGTCCTTCACTGCCTTCTTTCCTGACTCGAGCTGTTCGAACTGCTGCTTGCTGATGACCTTGGACTCAAGCAGTTCGCTAGCAGGCACTGGTGCTCGCAGGCCACTGAAGGTCAACTTTTCTTGTTTCTTGGTCTCGCTCTCTTCAATAATTGTGATAATTATCTTAATGACCTTCTCAATGGTGACTTTGCCAGTCTTGAACTGCCGTATCAGCTCTCTCTGCTGCTCTTCAGTGAAATATTCTGAGTGGATCAGCTCCCAGACTGTCATTGTCTTGCCCTTTTGGCTGCCGGCAGGAACTTCAACGGTGGCCTTATCAAAGGATTCTTTGATAGCACTATCCGAGTAGAGCTCCTCCTGATGACGCCGTATGGCCTCGTCTGAAAGGCACAGCAGGTGGAGGCCTGTCTGCTTATCCACTTGGCACCTCTGCAGCAGCTGAGCATAAGTGAGGTTTTCTTGGGCATTGGGGTCATAGTACAGCTTGACCTCGTTGGCCGGATCAGACAAGGCCTTGTTCATTTCTTTGCTGAAATAGCCCTGTTTGCAGGCAACTTCGAGTGGGAGGCGATGGCTGTGCACAGGATCAATGATGCCTCCAGTGGCAAGCTGAGCATCTAAGAGCCGGAGCCCGGTGTCCTTAGGGATGAGATCTTTCTTCAGCGCTTGGAAAACGGAGACCACCTGCCCCATGTACGGATCCTTATAGCCGATTACAGCTCTCTCTGCAGAGAGCAGCTTCTCGTGAAGCTCAGGCCCCACCATTCCTGCTCGGACCGCTTCATCCACAGGAAGCTTTTCATTCCTCACGGGGTCAATGACATGCCCAGTTCCAGCCTGGGCCTCCAGAAGGATCAGGGCCGCCTCGGGTTTCAACAGGTTTCTTTTCATTGCATCTGCAAGAAGTAACTTTTGGCCTGTTGACTCTACCAAGATGCCCGCAATGGTGCCAGTACCTTCCAGGTATCTTTTAATGGCATCCATATTGGTGACCTCCTTCACTGTCTTCTTGCCTTGGTGCAACTGATTGTAGAGTTCTTTGTTGAGGATTTTGCTCTCCAGCAACTTGGCTGCCGGCACTGCAGCCCGGAGGCCTTCAAAGCAGAGTTGGCTTTTTTTCTCACTCTCTTCAACAACAGTAATTATGATCTTAATTATCTTCTCCACAGTGATCTTTCCAGTCTTGTACTGACGCAGGAGCTCCCGCTTCTGCTCCTCAGTGAAATACTCGGAGTTGATGATCTCCCAGATGGTCACGGTCTTTCCCTGGAATCTGCCAAAGGGAGGAGAGACGGTGGCTTTCCTGAACACGTCCTTGGCCTCTTGATCGGTACAGACCAGTTCCTGTCCTCTGGCTGCTTTGTCTGACAGTGACAGGAATATTAGCCCGGTCTCGGGGTCAGTCACACACCTTTCCATCAGCTGCAGGTAAGTCAAGTTCTCCTGGGTATTGGGATCAAAGAAGCCCTTGGTGTCATCTGTGGGGTCCAAGAGGACCCGTTGCATCTCCTGATCAAAATAGCCTCGCTTGAATGCGATGTCCACAGGTAGGCGGTGGCTGTTGACAGGGTCGATGATGCCGCCAGTGGCAATCTGGGCCTCCAGGAGCCGAATCCCGTGGTCTTTAACAATAAGGTCTTTGGTCATTGCCTGGAAGAGGGAGATCTTTTCACCTGTGTAGGGATCCTTGTATCCAGTTACCGCCCGCTCTGCAGACAGCAATTTATTGTGCAGCTCAGGCCCAACCACGCCTTCCTTTACTGCCTCACTGACAGACATCCTCTTGTTCCTCAGGGGGTCTATCATGAAGCCGGAAGCTGCCTGCGCTTCCAGCAGGATGAGGGCCGTGCCTGGGCTGAGGAGCTGCTGCTTCATGGCCTGGTAGATGCTCATCTTCTCATTGGTGGGCTTGATCAGGAGCCCCGCGATGCTACTGCTGCTGCCTTGCAGGTACTTCCTGATCTCCTGCATCTGGGATAGCTCCTGCACGGACACTCTCCCGTGCACCAGATTCTCCCAGGTTTCTGGGCTCAGGATGCCAGCCTCTGCCAGCTTCTTGGCAGGAACCTTCTGTCGGATGCCATCAAACGCCAACTCAGGTTCACCGTTTTGAGAGACACCGTCAAGCATGTCTTGACCGTTAGGCAGAGCCGTTACTGCAGACACGGCTGCCTCCTGAGGAAGGTCATCGGTCTGGATCATGATTTCTCGGGTTTGAGCAAGGGCAGCCTGTTGCTCCTCCTGCAGCTGCCTCAGTTTCTCCCGGAGCTTTTGGTTTTCCTCAGCTAGAAGCTTCTCCTGCTGCTGACGCTGCTTCTCCAACTGCTGGAGCTCCTCCTGCTTGCGACGGACACTCTTCTCTGCTTCAGCCTGCTTTTCCTGGGCATCCCTGAGGGTGGCTTCCAGCTCCTCCTTCTCCTGCTCCATCTGCTTCTGCTGATGTTCCTGCTCAGCCTTCAGGCTTTGAGCTTTCTTGACCTCCTCCTGGAAGAGGCTCTCCAGCTTGGCCTTTTCCTCCTCCACAAATCTCTCCTTCTGCAGAAGGACGTCCTTCTCAGACAGGAAGGTCTGCTGAAGCAACTGCGTCTCCTGGCGGAGCTGCTCTTTCTGAGCAGTCTGCATCTGGATTGGGAAGAAAACAAAGTGCATCAGCCAGAGGGTAAAGGAGGAGAAAGGGGGGGGGGTGTCATCTAAAAGGCAGTGGTCACAGAAACAGAAGATAGGGCTGTTTTCGTCTCATTTTATAAAACACTGCCCTGTTCCTTCGGCATCAGAGGGACTCTCTATGGACTGAGTCTGAAAGGAGCTTTCCCAGAGGAGAAAACTGGTGAAATGAGGAGTTGGTTGGGCGACTTGTCTCCAAGTCCATCCATGGCCAATTCATAGAACCACTTCTGTTTGAAGTCTCAGAACAAGAAATCCCTCTTATGTCTTTGCACAACCACCCTTACTGGGCCAGTTGCTGCCGCCTGCGTGGGGTCACCCTCCACACCTGAAAGAGAGCTCTGTCATTTTTGCCCACTTGTGGCAGAGATCTTTGGAAGTCCTCCCCTAGGAACCCTCCCAAAAGGTCCCGTGGGATCCTCCCCAGACCAATCCCAGGAAGACATTGCCTGTTGATGGGGCAACACTCCATCCCCTCAGCTGCCTTCCCTCCCGCCCTCCCTCTTCTCAGTTGCCATTCTCAGACTTTCAAACAGACTTTGACAGAAAGAGTAAGAAGCAGTTGTTGGAACAGGGTGACTCCAGAAGAGCCTCTGTGGTTTGCACGCTCTATTTCAACAGCACACAAAATCAGTTCACCTAATGTTCTCCTTTGCTTTCTTGATGTGCCATCTTGGCTTGGGAGTACACAACCAGCCACTTCCCAAAATACAACTTACCATGACAGTCATCTAACAGAGGACACTTGGTCATCAGTACTGACTTGCAAGCAGCAGGGAACGTCTTCTGAACCCTACCAGGGAATCAAGAACCTCTCCTCCTCCTTCTCTCCTTCCTCCCCTCCCAAGCCATTGAGTGAGACCGGTCGATGCTCACACAAACACACAGCCTGGATTCTTGAGTAGGGCAGGCTCTTGGGGCAGGAGTGGCGGGGGAGCATGGTCCACTGCATCTGCACTGCTACCATATCCACCCCGTGGAGTGGCACCCCTCTCTCTTGCCTGAAGCCTCCTCAGCCAGGGGGCTGTGGACTAATCGACTGGCTGGGGCTGATGGGCATTGCTCAACCTGGGAGGGAGGGTATCTGGGGAACCACAACAGAGCAGGTACCTCTTCCGCCTTCTGCTGCAGCAGCTGGGCTTCCCGCTTCAGCTTCTCTTTCTCCATTTCCATCTCAGCAATAGCCTTCCTTAGCCTGTTGGCGTCTTGATCGCTTTGCTGCCTCTGGATCTCCAAGGTCTGCACCAGGGTCACCTTCTCTTGAGTGGACAGCTCCATCTGGTGCAGCTTCCCGCTGATCTCTTCAGCCTGCTTCCTGAACCGCCTGGCCTCTTCCTCTGCCTTCGCCTGGGCCAGGCTCAGCTCCGTGACTTGCAGCTTTAGTCGCTCGGCCTCAGCCGTGATCTGCAGCTGCCGCTTACGCTCGGCCTCCAGTGTCTTCTGGAAGCCCTCCGTCTCCTCCTCCAGCCGCAGCCGGATCTGCTCCTTGTCTTCCTGCAGTTTCCGGGCATGCTCCTGAGCCAGGTCCTTCTGCTTCTGCAGCACCTCAGCCTCGGCCTTCAGCTGGGTGGCTTCCTGGATTGCCTGCATCTTCTCTCTCAGGATCTTTTCCGCCAGCGCCCGCTGTTGGGCCAGATCCTCTTCTGCCAGCTTGCGCATGCGGGCGGCCTCCTGGGCTTCCACGCTCAGCCGGGCAGCTTCCTCCGCCACCTGCTTCATCTTCTCGGCTTCCTCGGTGAGGATCTTCTGCATGTTGTCCTTGTCCTTCATGATGAGCAACTTGTTCTCCTCCTCAATGCGGATTTTCAATTTGATCAGCTCCTCCATTTGGACCTTTACCTTGAACAGCTCCTCCTCTGCTTGGACCTTCTGCTTCATGGCTTCTGTCACCTCCTCCTTCAGCCGCTGCTGCTCCTCCTCCAAGAGGCTCTTCTGATGGTCCGTCTCCTCTAGCCGCAGCTTGACCTTGGTCAGCTCCTGCTCCACCTGGGCCTTTTGCCGCAGTGTCTGCTCTGCAAACTTTTTGTGCTTCTCCATCTCCGTGTCAGCCACCTGCTTCTGCTTAAGGGCTGCCTGTTCAGCCTGGGCTCGCCTGGCCGCCTCCAGCTCTGCCTCCTTGCGGAGCTTCTCCGCATCCTCCTGGGCCCTGGCTTTGACTTGGGCCTCCTCCTCAGCTCGCTGCTTCATGCGCTCGGCCTCGTCCACCAGTTGCCGGGACAAGGTGGCCTCTTGCTCTGCCTTGAGGCGGGCAAACTCTGCTTCCTCAGCTGCTCTCTTAGCTTTCTCGGCCTCCTCCTTCAGTCTGTCCAGGATGGACTGCTCCTGCTGTCTGGTCTGCAGCAACTCCTGCTCCTTCTGACGCACCAGGGCCAGGTGAGCGGCCTCTTCAGCCGCAATCTTCTTCTGGGCCGCCTCCTGGGCCAGCAGGATCTGCTTCTCTGACTGGCTTTCCGCCAACTCTTTCTGCTTCTTGGCTTCCTCCACCTTGGCCTTCAGGCGCTGCACCTCCTCCAGAGCAGCTTTGCGCTGCCTGGCAGCTTCCTGCTCAGCAGCCAGGGTCTTCTGGAGCTTCGCTTCGGCCTCTTTGCGGCGGTTCTCCTCTTCCAGGGCCACCTGCCGCAGCTTCTCACTTTCTTGCTCCGCTAGCTCTTTGCTCCGCTGAATCTCCTCTGAGCTCTGCCTGATCTTGCTGAGCTCCAGCTCCAGGTCTGTCTTGCCCACAGAGGCTTTCTCAAAGTTGATCTTGAGGATGCGAATTTCCTCCTCAATGATGCGCCGCTGCTTTAGGGTTTCATTGACGACGGTCTTCTGCCTCTCTAGCTCACTCTCAGAGGACTTCTTCAGCTGTGCAATCTTCTCCTCGATGTCGTGCTTGTGCTGGGCCGCCTGCTCCTCCAGGACCCTCCGCTGGTAAGCCTCGTCCTCTGCTAGCCGCCTCAGCCGCTCGTTTTCGGCCTCCTTCTCCTTCAGGGAAATTTCCGCTTCTGCCTTGAGGCGTGATGCCTCGTTGATGGCTGCCAGTTTCTCTTTGAGGATCCGCTCAGCCTCTGCTCGCTGCCGAGCAGCCTCCTCCTCGGCCAGCTGCCGTTGCCTCTTGGCTTCCTCAGAGAGGGCGCGCAGGCGACCTGCTTCCTCCGCCACCTCCCGCAACTTGGCAGCTTCGTCCTCCAAGATCTGCTTGGACTTCTCGCTGGCAGAGCGTGACTCCTCCTCGGTCCTGGCCTTGCTTTCCAGCAGGAGCTCCATTTCAGCCCGCAGTTTGGCCAGCTCCTCCTCCAGCTCCCTACGCTTATGGACGGCCTCATTGACCTCACTCTTGAGGCGGAAGAACTCTTCCTCCAGCAGCAGCCGCTGCTGCTCCCTGTTCTCCATCTCTGACTTCAGGCGGATCAGTTCCTGCTCAGCCATGAACTTCTGCTGGGCTGTGCCCTCGGCCAGCTTCCGCTGCTTCTCCAGCTCCTCCTCGGCCAGCTCCTTCTGACGCAGGGCTGACTCCTCTGCCTTGGTCCGCTTCCGGGCTTCGCGCTCGGCGTCCTCCTTCTGCTTCTCTGCCTCCTCCTGAGCCAGGGACTTCTTGTGTGCTACCTCCTCCGCCTGCAGTCGGAGTCGGAGTGCCTCATTGGCTTTCTGCTGCCACTTTTCCAGCTCCTTCTCAGCCTCCTCCTTGGCCCGTTCAGCTTCCAGCTGCTGTGTCCTCAGGTGCTCAGCCTCCTCCTGGAGGTAGGTGAGGGTGACGTGCTCCTGCTTCAGGGTCAGCTCCAGCTGGGCCGTCTTCTCAGCAAAGGAGAGGCGCCGGCTCTGCAGGTCTGCCTCAGCGCTCTTCTGGGCTGCCTCACGCGCGACCTGGATCTGCCGTTCCTTCTCCAGCTCCGCCTGCTTCATCTGGCGCTCAGCCTCCTCGGCCTGTGCGCGGAGCTGCTGCAGGTCCTCCAGGGCCTTCTGCTTCTCCTGCGCTGCTCGCTGCTCTGCCTGCACCTTCTCCTGCAGCTGCTGTTCTGCCTCCCGCTTCTTTTGGGCCTCATCCTTGACCTGCCTGCGCAGGCGCTCAGCCTCCTCCTGGGCGGCTTTCTTCTGGCGCTCGGCTTCCTCCGCCCGGGCCCTCAGGGCCTGCAGCTCCCCTTCCGCCCCGGCCTTCTGCTTCTGCGTGGCTTCCAGCTGCAAGCGGATGATATGGATTTCCTCTTCCACTTTCCTGCGGCTGATCTCCACTTCCTCGATCAACTTCTGCTTGGTCAGGATCTGCCTGTCGGAGCTGAGCTTCATCTGCAGCAGTTCCTCCTGGATGTTCTGCTTCTGCTGCTCAGCGTCCACGGCTGCCTCTTGCCGTCGGCTGACCTCCTCCTGCATGCGCTGCTGCAGCTCCCTGGCTTCCTCCTCAGCCTGAGCCTTGGCCTTGGCGTGGGCCTCGGCCAGCTGCCTCTGCTTCTGCAGCTGGGCCTCCACCTCCGCCAAACGCTTCCGCTCTGCCTCCTTCAGCTGCTCCGCTGCTTTCTATGGGGAGGGGGCAGAGAGGAGGGGAGGGGGAGAGAGAGAAAGATCACAAGAGCAGATGGGAGGGCAAGTCTTTGGGGTGGGGGCAAGGGGCAGCAGGCAAGGAAGCAGGCAGACCCACATACTGAGAAAGAGGATGGAAGCACCAACGGACGGGTGGACGCCAGAGACAAGCAAACCCAAGACCAACGAGCCACAAGAGCACACCTCCACCATGCGCAATGCGCTGCCACCACGCAGTGGAACGTCCAGGAGACCGGGAGTCCGAAAGCTTAGGGGTTGGGGGTGATCCAGCCTAGGGTCACGTGAGGGCAGCGACCACACTACAAGAGCGACCGTGGGGACGGTGCTGTTTCACAAAGGCCCCCTTCCCCTGTTCTTAGCACGCAAGGCCAGCATCCGCCCTACAAGCCCCACCTAGGAGACTGTGGCAGGTGACCATTCCAGGACGGAGGCAGGTGACCATTCAAACACATCCAGGCCAGGCAGCACACCAAGCGGGCTGGAGACCTTACAAGCTGGCAGATCAAGGTGACCCAGCAGACCTACCCCCCGCTCCTCCATATCCTTCCCTCTCACCCAGTGGGCCCTCCACTCCCCACCCCCAGTTGTGCGATCAGTGCAGGGCCACTGGGGAGGGGGAGTGCAAAGGTGGGGGAACATGCAGATGCAAGGAGTACCTGGTAGAAAAGTTGCTGCTGAGGTTAACCCTTCCTTAGAGCCCAACCAACACCAACCTGCCCCGAGCAAGCCCAGGCAAAGGAGCTTGGCTTCCGAAGGGCAGAAACCAAGAGTTAGAAAGGGGAGGAGACCACAGCAAAATGGAGGAAAAGGGGGCAGGGAGGGGAGCCCCAGAAGCAGCCCCAGACAGAGCAGAAGAGCAAGCACTGCAGTCAATCTTCCTGCAGGGCAATGATGCCCACGCAGCCAGGCTCCCGCGTGGGGCCACAAACTGCCCAGGGGAGGGTCAGGGAAGAGGAACAGCCAGCAGGGAGGGAGCAGCCCCCCCGCCCCTCCCCATCCATCCAGAGGCAGCCAAGCCATGCTGGGCCCACCCTGGATCCCTTACCTCCTCTTCCTCCAGCCGCCGAAGAGTCTCTGTAATGAACCTGATGTACTGGCTGGTCAGCGTGGTCAGCTCACTGTATTGAGTTCTCAGGTCAACATACTGCAAGGCCAAAAGAGGGGGGAGGCTCAAATCAGCCCTGTTGGCCTCTTCCTTCCAAGCAGAGGAATGCCTTCAGAAAGCCTCGGGCAAAGTTGGGGACAGCTGACACAAGTGCAGCAGCTCAGGCGCTCCCACATTCTGCAGCACCCTCATCTCAAGGGAAGCTGCTGCTGCCATCCCAGAACAAGAGCGCCCAGCAGCGCCCTTTCTCCCCACCGGGCTAGAATGATAGGAAAAGGCTTTCCTTCTAGAACCTCTGTCCCTACTCCCAGCGCCCACCACCACCACCAGTCCCGCCCAGGGATGCCCCCTCACCTCCTGGATGATGTTGTCCGAGGCAGACTGCACTTTAGGCTTCTTGGCTGGAGAAGAGACGGGCTCCACCTGGGCTTTGTAGGTGACCAGTTGAAGCTCATAATCCTTCAAGGGAAAGAGGGGTTGGCTACTGTGGGAGCCCCCTGAGCCCGGGGAGGAGGGGGGGCGGCCTGCAGAGCCCGCCCCTTGAGCAGGCCCGGCTCACTGCCACACACCTTGATGGCATCAATGTACTGCTTGGCCAAGCGGTGGCTCTCTTCCACCTTCTCCCAGTTCTGTTCACATTCTTCCAGGAGTTTCTGGGGAAGGAGAGTCAGAAGGAATAAGCGCCCCCCCCTCAAGGCCCACAGCACAGGGAGGGCCCACGGCTCAAGAAGAGGCTGCCTTGGAGGGAGGTTCTGTGCAGAGGAGTCTCAGAGGAATCTACCCAGCACCCCTTCCCCCCTCCCCCGAATGCAGCCCCAGGGCGCTGAGGTAGGGTCGCAGGGAAGCTCAGGGGCCGGAGACAAGGCAGAGGGGCTTCTGCCAAAGGGAAAAGTGGGTCTTTGAACTGGAACTCTGCCAGCATCCAAGGAACCCCAGTCATTGGGAAGACCCATCGCTCCCCCTTCTCAGATAGCTGCGTATAGCTGAAAAATTCAGGCCATTTATTTGTTAAACGGCATAAATTCTTCAGCTATACACAATTACTAAAACCTCTTTGTGGGCTGCACTCAAGCTACCCCTCCCTTTAGAAATGCAAGTCAGACCCAGGCCTGATCTGATGGGACGCCAGGTCTACCCCCCCACCCCCACCCAACGGTGAAATCCACTTACCTTTGCTACGGATTCGGGAACGGGAGCGCACGGGAGCGTGCGTCTTCTGCACATACGCAGATGGTAAAAAAACGGGACGTAATGATGTCCCGGTGGGTGGGCGGAGCTACCGGTTTGGCGAGCTGGATAGAACCGGGGGGGGGGGGGGATTTTACTGCTGCTACTCCTCCACCCCCGGCCCTGGAGACCTCCTCTCAGCCCTGCTAGCTGAGGGGGCTTCAAGGGGGCTTCCGCCGTTTGCCACAGCCAGGTCCACTCTCCTCTCGGCCGACCTCACCTTCTCTTGCAGCAGCTGCTCCTTCACCTGCTGGCTGCTGGTGACGGGCACAGCCTGGAGGCTCTCCTGGCGCTGGCGGGCATCCTGGATCCACTCCATCAGCCAGCTGTAGCTGTTGCGGTAGTAGCGCAACTGGCGTCCCAACTGGTCCAGTTCCCGCTGTCGCAGGTCGATCTGGGCCAGGATAGCCTGCCAGCGGTCGAGGAGCTGCTGCACGCGATCCCGGTAGCGGTCCAAGTCCAGATCCCTCTCACTGTGGCTCCTTACCATCCTCTCGTTCACCTCACTGGCCTTGGCCAGGTCTGCTTCTAGGGCACTGAAGACTGGCTGGTGCCCCTCAACCTGCCCACGCAGCCTCTGCAGGACAAAGACAGAGGAAAGGTGGGGAGTCAGGGTCGTGCGAGCCCTTCCGAGCCACAGGCGGTCCAAAGGTCCCCCCTCCCCGGCAGCTCTGGGTCTGGCTGGTCACCTTGAGTTCTGCCTTGGTAGCCTCAACAGCCTTGAGGTCAGATGGCACAGTCTGGACATCTTTGAGCTGCTCTTCATAGCTCTGGACCAGCCCCTCAGCCCCTTGGGTGCTACGGATGACCAGGTTGATGGTCTTCAACCTGCAGGAGAGGTGGATCGACTCAAGACATGGCAGCTGGACAAGGTTGCCCATTCAACACAACAACATTCAATGGAGGGAAAAGTAAGATTTGATACTTAGGTAAGAAAAATCAAATGTCCAGGTACAGGGTAGATGAAACCTGGCTCAATAGCACTAACTGCAAGAAGGATCTTGGAGTCTTAGTGGACAATCACCTAAATATGAGGAAGCCATGTATGGCAGCAGCCAAAAAAGCCAATGCAATCCTAGGTTGCATTAGCAGAGGGATAGAATCAAGAGCATGTTAAGTACCACTTTATAAAGCCTTAGTAAAACCGCACTTAGAATACTACATCATCCAGTTTTGGTCACCATACTATAAAAAAGATGCTGAGACTCTAGAAAGAGCACAGAGAAGAGCAACTAAGGTGATTGAAGGCCTAGAGGCTAAAATATATGAAGAACGGTTGCAGGAATTGGGTATGTCCAGTCTAGTGAAAAGAAGGACTAGTGACATGATAGCAGTCCTCCAGTATTTGAGGGGCTGCCCCAAAGAAGAGGGGGTCAAGCTGTTCTCCAAAGCATCGGAAGGCAGGACAAGAAACAATGGATGGAAACTAATCAAGGAGAGAAGCAACCTGGAACTAAGGAGAAACTTCCTGCCGGTCAGAACAATTTAACCAGTGGAACAAATTGCCTCCAGAAGTTGTGGATGCTCCAACACTGCAGGCTTTGAAGAAGAGACTGAACAGCCACTTCTCCAGAATGGTAGAGGGTTTGGACTAGAAGACCTCCAAGGTTCCTTCCAACTCTGCTATTCTCTTATTCTTTGGTCTCCAAAGCATATAAGAATTAGCCTACATCATCTTTAAAAAACCAAAGCGGGGAGCAGAAACATAGAAATGGCCACTTCAAAATCTTCAAAAACCGAAAACGGAGTTAGCTGGATGTCCAAAGGATGTTGAGACTCAGAAAGAGCAATCTCTAACCTGGAGGGCTTTTACCGCAAAGCCCCTGGGCTGCGAGGCACACGAAGGGAGCAAGCTGCCAGCACTAACTTCACCCCTGTCCCTCAGCAGAGGGCTGGGGGGCCGATAGGAGTTACCTCAGCAGGATATGAGAGCAGAGGGCATCTCCAGGATGACCTGATTCCCCAGGCCAGCAGGATCTCAGAGTCGCTGCTGCTGAGTTTGTAATAAGAACAAGGGTGGCCAAATCCAGTGCCCACCCTCCTCCCTCCCTCCCTCTCTTTGTCCTCATGGCCGAGCAAGTTCAGGCCTGGTGCTAAGGACCACTTACTTCTCCAAGAAAATGCTGGAGAGGCTGTACACCTGGCCCATCTTCTGCAGCGTGATATCCAGCTCGGAGTGCAGCAGGGGGGCCGAACCGGCCTGCTCTGGCTGAGCCAGGACCTGCTCCGTCTGGGCGCTCACTTTGCCCAAACTCTTCTGGAGGGTTTCCAGCTCCAGGTGGATCTCCTGAGGGGAGGGAAGGGGAGGGGAGCGGAGCGGCGTCAGGGACCCAGGCCAGGAAGCCCCAAGTACAGACCTCAACCCCTTCTCCTGGGGAAAGGAGAGCGTCCCTGTCCCGTTTCAAGATGGGAAGGCAGGAAGCAGCTCCGTGGCCAGAGCAGTGGAGCCTCTGCTTCCCCCTCCCTGGACTGTGTCTGGGGCAGGACAAGAGTCTCCTGTGTCCCAGAGGAGATTCCATCAGCTTCTGCAGCTGTGCCGATCTCAATGCCAAAGGGAAGCCATACCTGCTGGTCGCTAATGCGCTGCACACATTCCTTAACGGGGTCTTGGTCAAGCGGAGAACGGATTTTGTGTATGGTGCGGGACTCACAGCCTTCGAGCTGCAGGCGGATGTCCTTCAGCTGGGAGATGAAGTTCCTGCACAGCGACTCCTCCTGTTCCCCTGCCACCCCACAAACCAAGCCTGGGGTTAACGGATCTCAGCACCGCTCGTGGCTACAGGTCAGTCAAGAGGGGAGCAAGGATGGGTTCCCAAGACCACCCAGGGAGCCCGTGGGGGGGGGGGAGAGGCCCGGCCTGAAATCAAAGCGCAGACTCAAGGCTTGCCAAGGGCCCCAGACCTTACCTTTCTCCAACCCGCGCAGCAGCATCTCGTACTTCTGGGTGCAGACGGTGTAATCACGCTCTGCTTGCAGCCGGTCGTCCGGATGGAAGTTCTGGGAGTCCTGGCTGTCGCGCAGGAACTCCTGGTAGTGGGTCTCCAGGCTGCGCAGCGTCTGCCGGTAATCCTCGGGGGGCATTGTCCGAAACTGCAAAATACATGTGTTGTTGTGGGGAGTCCAAGAGAACATCAGCCGAACCAGCTGAGGTTCGTCCCTCAAGATCTCCGCAGGGCAACCTTCGAGCCTGGGCTGATCACCAACACAGCTCTCTCTGCAAGAGGCACCCTGGGCAGAGCTATACCCTGCCTGACAGATGGGGGAGACCTGGGGGTCCCTCAGCCCACACCAAGCAGTGAAGCTCAGGGGGCTGCAAGGGCTTCAAGGTGTTGGTTATCACCTTTAAAGTGCTCCATGGCATAGGACCTAGCTATCTTTGAGACCGCCTGCTGCTACCGATGACCTCCCACCGACCTGTGCGCTCCCACAGAGAGGGCCTCCTCGGGGTGCCATCAGCCAAACAATGTAGGCTGGTGACCCCCAGGGGGAGGGCCTTCTCTGTGGGGGCACCTACCCTCTGGAATCAGTTGCCCCCAGAGATAAGGAGAATCCAAGACCTCGGTGCCTTCCGCCGTGCCCTTAAAACCCACTTTTTTCAGCAAGCCGGGCTGGCTTAACTTTTTTTCTTAATTTTTTAAATGTTTTAAATGGGTTTGTTATTGTTCTTAAATTACGGGGCCAAATTTATATATATTCTTTTAATACTATTTTAATGTTTGTAATTTATATTTTTATTCGGCTGTACACCGTATATAAATTGGATATAAATAAAATAAATAAATGAATAAAAAGGGCTGGCAAGGATGCAGCTGCTGTCCCGTCTGACCTACCCTGCCTTACATCCTGAGCTCTACCTGGGCAGGAGATGCCCAGATGGGACAGTGCAAAGCCCCCAAAGGCCGATGGGGCTGACGCAGCTGAACCCTCTCCACCAACTGCACTGCCCCCAGCACGATTCAAAGGAGCTGGTCCTCTCCGTAAAGCTAAACCCCCTAAGGCCCCCTTTGCCTACGACCCGCCCAGCCTTCAGACCGAGTGGCCACTCTTCCCCTTCCCTGAGAAGCGCATCCCACCCAAACCCCTCAATCTGCAGATGGCCTTGCTGGTGGGGGCTCCATGGGTTGTGGGTTGGGGTGTCCCTGGTGTCCCAGCCTTTTGGAGGGGCTTCTGCTCCTTCCCTCTTTCTTGGACACTGCTTGGGAGTTCAATAGTCAGGAAGGGTCCACGAACAACGATGAAGAACCCTCAAGGCACCCCCAGACTTGTACCCTCTTCCCAGCTGCTGGTTCCCCCTTTGGGCAACTCCTGCCCATCCCCTCCAGCCAGCCCAAGGGATGCCGAGCCGGGCAGGGCAAGCCCTGCAGACCGTTCCTGGGGGTGGGGAGGTGTCTGCTGCTGGCCTGGGCTTGCCAGGAAAGCTGGCATCAGGGAGAGGGAGGGAATCTGGGTCTTACAATGAGGAGGGACCAGGTCTGGATCTGCTGGATCTCCCGCTGCAGGTACTGCCAGGAGAGCAGGCTCTTCATGTTGATGTGCAGCTGGTGCCAAGTGCTGAGCAGCTTCTGGTGCACCGTCTCCAGCCTAAAGGGACATGGGAGGGGGAGGTCAGGGCGGAGGCTGCCTCTCTCCAGGCTGGCTGGGGGAAGGGGAACAAAGCCAGGCTTGGAGCTCCTGCCTGCCCCCAGAGCTGGGGGCGGAAGTGGGGGCAGTGGGGCGCAATGGCCTGCTGAAGAAGGAAGGAAGCCTTTACTGCCACCCCAGAGTCCAGGTAAGAAGCACGTACCTCCCAACGGCTTCCAGGGCCTCCTTGTTGGGTGGGGGGATCAGGAAACAGATGGAGGGGGCCAGGGACTCCTTCCCGGCTGCATTCAAGACCTTCCACTTGTAGGGCTGGGCGTTGCTGAGGAGGGTGCAGTGATCCCCCTTGTGCACAGTGATCTGGGGGTGGAAAGGGAGGGCAGCTCAGCTGATGCCACCAGAGGCAGCCCCCCTTCCCTCCCCCGCCGCTGTGCCTTGGCCCCCCTCCTCACTCACCTCTACTTGCTTGTAGTCACAGACCGCCTGGAGGGGCAGCCGTCCCCTAACCGGGGGGCTTGCGCTGCGGGGCTTCAGCTGGACAATGGTCTTGGCCCGGTTGGCCAGCCCAGCCAGGTGACTCTGGTACTGTGTGAGATGGTCTTTCTCCTCCTGAAGTGGGGTGGGTGGGAGGCAGGAAGCAGCCCCGTTAAGTGAGGGGGAAGGAAGGCTGTTGGGTCAAGGGGAGGGGGCCAGTCCCACCCTCACCAGGGAGTCCTGCAGCAGGTCCTCTAAGCGAGTCACTGTGATGGACCGGTCGCAGGTGAACTTCTTCTTCATCGTTTCCTGAGTCTTGTGCAGAAACTCCTCTGCTTCCTTTATGTCAGAAAAGAACTGGGGGGGAGGGGGAGGAAGAGGATGGAGAGGGTGCCGATTGACACAGTGTCCTCTGGGGTTCTGTGCCCACCCACGCCCATCGCCAGAGGGAGCCAGAAGGATGAAGGCCGGCCGGTTCCTGCCAGAGTCCTGCTTTTCTGCTCGGCTGCTAGAGACTGTGCACCCTCCCCCTCCCTTCCTGAGGACTACCTGGAAGTAGCTGCTGTTCTCCTTCAGGTGAGCCTCAATGCAGCAGCACAGTTGCAGCAGCCAGCTCCACTGAGTCTGCAGGGCTGCCTGGAAGGCCTGCAGGGGGAAGCAAAGCAGAGTGGGCGGGGAAGACAGCAGAGGGAAGAACCCTTCCCACACTCCTGGGTGCCCACTTGGGGGGGGCAGTGGGCAAGGGCCTGGAGTAGTCATCTGATGAGGGCTCCTCGTGATGCAGCCATGACTGCTGGCACTCCCCCCACCCCACCCACCTCCACCGTCTGCCTGGCTGGGTGATCCTCCCGCAGCATCCGGTCGCCTGTGTTCTGGATCTCCTTGACCCGCCGCTCCCGCAGCTCCAGGTCTCTCATCAGGCCCTAGAGGGTGGCAGAGCACAGATCCGGGGGTCAGCTGGGGCCTGGCAGCTGGGCTCCTCACTCGGGGCCAGAGGGAGGGCGACTTTTACCGAGTAGCTCTCCTTCTTTGCGGCCATGTTGCTGTTGCGCTCGCTCCAGTCGTAATTCACCTCCTCTTCCTCCTTCTCATTCAGCCACATCAGCTCTTTGGTGGCCGCAGCCACAAACGCCTGGAGGCTCTCCAGGTGCCGCAACCGAGCCTTGGATGAGCTCTGCAAGACACGGATCACGGCGGCTCAGCCCAGCACTGAGAGGAGCCTGTCCGCCGGTCAAGGGATAGTGTCCGGGGCAAAGAGCGCCAGGGCACCCAATGCCGCTGCATCCCTAAGGGGGAGGAGAAGCGAGATCTCTGCCTGCACCCCCTCTGCTGCCCTGACCGTCCCCCGGCCATCTGCTCACCAGCAGCTTCTCGTACTGCACGTCCAGCTTGCTGAGGTAGTCCCGGTATGAGGTCTGTGGACCAGGAGAGAGTTGGGCCTACAGGGAGGAAAGGAGAGCCATGAAACCACTACTAGGCAGACATGGCAGCCCCCTCCTTCAACAAGCCTTGCTGGGAGGCTGGCATTCTCGGACCTCCATGTCTGGCACACACACACACACACACCCATCCTGTATACCTCATCCGCCCGGGCTCGCTCAATCTTGGGGCGGAACTCCTCAATGGAGCGGTGCAGTCCGCGGTGGCTGCCGAGCTGCGACTCCACCGTAGGCAGGTCCACACCCCATTCGGCTGCGTTGAGGCGAGCCTGGTTCTCTTCCACCCAGGTCAGCAGATCTTGCAGGTAGCGTAGGGTGACATCATCCAACTCTGGCCGCGGGCGCTGCGTGACCGGTACGGACACTTGGACTGTCCCAGATTTCAGGCGCAAGTTGTACTCAGTACGGATGGCCACAAGGCGCTCGTGCAAGCGGTAAACCCTGCAGGGGGGGAGGGAATGCTGTGCTACAGATGTGGGTCCCTGCAGGGAAGACAGCAGCCAGAGCTCCCCACTTCCAGGCCCAGTGAGAGTGGCTGCAGCTGCTCCTGCAGAGGGAAACTCCCACCACCAGAGGGCAGTACACAGAAAACTTGCTGGCAACGGGGGTTTTTCTGAGGGGCAGAGGAGGGCTCTAAGCCTCTAACTTCATGGCATCAGCTCTCCCATGTAAAGACAACCCCCTCCCCCCCCACCGTGTGTGAGGAGAAGGGATGGAAGGAGCATTACTGACCTGCGATACATCTGCTCGCCCTGGGGGTGGCGCCCATCCTTGAGGGCTTGCACATCATTGAAGAGCAAGCGGATCATGGCCTCGGCCTTGTCCAAGTCCCGCTCAATCTCCACCAAGTGCTGTGATGCTTTGCCTGCATTCAGCAGGCGGATGTCCTGCAGGAGGGGAACCAAGGACCCTGAGCCTGGCAGAGCACCAGGTCAGACCCTCCCACCCACTCCTGGTCCCAGGGTCCAGCAGAAGCAGAGCAGAGCGCCCCTCACCGACTGCAGCAGGGTGTCCGCCTGGTTGAGCTGCTCCTCACAGAGGCCGGACTCCATCTGGAGTTTGCTGACGATGCGCTGCAGCCGTTCCAACCTAGGAAGGCAGGAGGGGAGCGAGAGAGAAATGAACAAGGGCCCCGGCCAGCTCCCTCCACTCCACTGGGGCTCAGCTCTCGTCCCGCCTGGGCCAGGGGAGGGCAGCCTAGCTGTCCCAGGCTGTCTTGGCTCACACTGCCTGTTCGCCCAGATGCTTCCTGAAGAATACAGCGGGGGGGGGGGGGGGGAGGCGGGTGGTGAGTCACCAGCCGTGTGTTTCCCATTATGGCTGGGCTGGGCCCGCTGCGGTTGGGAGGGAGCTGCTGCCCCCCTGCCTGCCCGGCTCCTTTCCCAGGAAGAGGAAGTGCCTGACTCCAGCCCCTGTGCCCCCCAGCTTCCCTCTAGGCGCTCTGTTAGGCGCTCCTGCTTGCCTCTCAAACTCTGAGCGCAGAAGCTTCTCCCTCTCCAGGATGGCCACGTGCAGCCTGCCCCACTCCTTCTCCACGTCCAGTGGGTGGTAGCCCTGAGGGATCTTCAGTTGCCCGCTTTGCACAGCAGCCTAGTGGAGCCGGAAACAGATGGGAGCTGTTGACGACGGCCCCCAGAAGGCCACCCTGCCCTCCAGTAGGCTGGCATGCTGGGCGGCCCTGGGCCTCAGGTCCCACCAGGGCACCAAGGGGGCGATTCGGGCTCACCTCCAGAGACTGGAAGATCACCTTGGAGCGGCTCTTGTCAGCCTCTTTGGCGGGCAGCTCCATCTCTTTGAACTTCAAGAACTGGTGCCACAGGATCTGTGGGAGAACAAGGTGGAGGGATGGTGGGGTGGGCCAGGGTGGGTCCAGGGGGCTCTTTGCTCTGGGCCAAAGCAGCCAGCAACTCTCGTCAGGGCAGAGCTGGCCACGGAAGGGGACTCCCATGCCTATTCAGGGAGCCCTTTCACACGCACACCCAACAACCATGGGGTGCCTCCCCAACCCAGATGGGAGGACCAGGCCTGCCCTCGAGAGAAAAAGGCTGCCTCCCAGCCAGAGAGGGCTCTCACCTCAATCTCCTCATAGCTGGCAGGGAACTTCCTCTCCTCAAAGATCACTGCGTGGTGCTGGATCCACTGCAGAAGCAGGCTGACCACGCCGTAGTATTCCTGCCAGCGCAGCTGCAGCTCCTAAGTGGGGGGAGGGGGCATGAGGGAAAAGGTGGTGGGTGCTGAGGTCACACCTGCAGCCCACAGACTGGCCAGGCCTCCCCACTTCATCGCCCCCAATGCTCACGTTGGCTTTAATTCCATCCTGCACGTCCGGCACCCGTGGCATGGCGTCGTAGAGAGAGGACACATAGGTGATGATGGACTTCTCATCTGGCTGGGGCACATCCACATCTGGGAAAGAGAAAGGGAGAAGGGAGTGCTGTGCTGCCCCACTCAAAGGAGCCCCCTGCCCTGCCCATGGGGCAGCCCATCCCAGTACCTTCCGGGTCCAAGAGCCGCGTCACACCCAGGTCGTGTTCAGCCACCGAGAAGGCCTGCTCCAGGTTCTCCACGTTGCTCTGGTGGTAGACCTTGTTCATGTCAATCAGCATTGGCCTGCAGAGGGGAGAGGCTGTGGTCAGAGACCCTCCAGCTCACCCTAAGAAGAGGGCCGAGCTTCTGCTGGGTCCCAATTCTGCGCCAGACCTTCCCCTGGAAGCGACGTGGCTACGTCTGTGCCCATCAATGCGGGGCTCATCGCCTGATCAATGGGGTGCTCAGCCTCCCCTGACACCAGCCTTTGTGCCCCCTGTGGGTCTTCCAGAGGTCGTATCAGTGTGGTCTGGAACAAGGCCACCCTGGACCTTAAGCTTCTGCTCCTTAAAATAGGGAGCATAGAAATAGCTGGAGTAATCAGCTCCCCAACAATTGGAAAAACTCAAGGTTCCAGTCCTCAAGGCCCACTGCAGTATCGTGCATGTGCGTGTGCGTGAACTTGTGTCCCAAGACAGGACATCATGAGCCCAGCAGAACCCTGCTTCCTTGTCCCCCTCAGGTCCTGGGCACTCTGAATGATTGCTTTGAAGCCCACTCCCCCCCGTCTGTGCCTGGGCCCCCTTCTTAGGGCACAGGAGCCTGCAGGGACCTGAACCCAATGCTCCTTGTTTGGGAGGGGTCCCAGGGCAGTCCGCAGCTTGGAGCAGACTCACTAGTGAATGAGATTCTGGTTTTTCAGAAGCAGCCTGCTGGTCGGCAAGGGGTCTGACCCTAAGGCACTCCCTCCCTCATGGGGCATCACAAGCTGCTGCTCCCCTTCTGCTGAGAGTCTGATGCCCCCTGGTCAATCTCCTTAGCCTTGACTTGGGAGTGGGCGCTGGGTGCCAGCTGGTGTGCCAGACCTCTGCCCTCCGTCAGCTGGGAGGGGAAGCGAGAGGCCGGGCCAGAGGGGCTCCAGCCCATCCCTACCCCATTGGTCAAGGAAGGTGGGGGCAATCCCCTTCCTCCCTTCACAAGCAGGGCAGTCTGCAGTTGAGGCCACTTGCCCGGCATCCATGGCTTCCTCTTGGGTGCAACACTGCAGCTCTTTCCATCATGGCCCCTTCAATGGGCCCCTGCCCACTCACCCCCGGCCCTGCCCCTTACTTGTGCCTGTGGATGACGGCGTTGAAGAGACGGCCATCACGCCAGCTGGAGGTGAAGTTGTCACAGCGCATGCCCTGGTACCCCTCCACCATGCGCTGCGACCACAGAAGCAGCTTCTCTTTGGCTGTCATGTCCTCCGACTGGCCGGTCACCTGGATGTCGGAGATCTTGGAGGAAAGAGGGACCGCCTGAATCCGGGAGCCTGACTGAAGGTGCTGGCCATCTGGGGATGGCACCTCCACCACCACCCACCCGACGGGCTGCAGAGCCTTCCGGCCAAGACTCGGCCACTTTCTGCGCCCAGACCTGGACCTCCCACCTGTCTCCTCAGGGCTGCCATGCGCCCCTCAAGAGGAGGATTGATTCTCTGTGCAACCCCCGGTGGTCATGATGCCCCAGGCCAGGCACTGGCCCTCCACTGGGAGCCTTGGAGGGCACCTTGGCAGCCTGCCCTCAGTAGTTGCCTCTGCCCAGCTGCAGGGCTCTAGATGCTCTCCTAAGCAAGACCCATCCCTGCATCTGGGGAACTCCAAGGCCTGCTGGTTCCCCCCCCCCCAACTCGCCCAGGCCTAGCACTCAGTGGAAAATCTTGTGTCCTGAAGCGACTGATGGGTGAGTCAGCCCCACAAGCCGCAGCATCCTGTTCTCTCCCAGCCGCAGCCCACATTCCTCCCCTCCCCTAGGAACCACTCCTGGGATCCTCCTCCTCGCTTATTCCCCCTGCCAATACCCCCCCCCAACCTGGAACCCCTTCTGAGCAGCCCCCTCCCTGCCCAGCCTCTGAAGGGAAGGGCAACCCCAGCCTCCTTTGTCCATCTGAACGCCTAGCGCTTGTGGAGAGGAAGGGGGTGGGGCTTACAAGAATCTGGCCCACAGCCGAGGGAGGGAGGGAGTGGCTGAAGAGAGGCCTTGCCCTCTAGAGCAGAGCAGGGAAGAAGGCTGGGGGGGCGGGAGTTGGCTTCACCTGGAAGTGGAGGATGATGGTCCAGATGAGGCCTAGTGTCAGCTTGGGGTTGCCATCGGCGATATCATCATTCCGGATGTTGACCAGTTTCACCTGTGGAGGTACGCGCACACACGCACGGTTACTAAAGGACCCCGCTGCCTTTTCACTCCTTCCCCTCCAGGCTCCTCGCCCAGGATGCTCACCTGCCGGTGCTTCAGGTAGTCCAAGGCAATCTGCACATTTTGCAGCTTGTGGAAGCGCATCCGTCCCTTCTCCCGGGGCTATGGGCAAAGGAGGCTCAGGTCAGGGCCCTGGAGAAGCCGGGTGTGTGTGTCCCCCTTCCCTCCCACCCTTGCTGAAAGGATCCGGAGAAGGGCAAAGAAAGCCAGGGAAGCCTGGCAGACAGAGCTAGGAAACAATGCATGGGAGAAAAGACTGCCCCGCCCCCACTTCTGCTCCCCCCCACCAGCCATCCCCACCCAGCTGAAGCATCCTGGGGCTATCTTAAGCTTGGCCGCTGCAAGAGAAGCACACAAGGCCACCCTCAGCACCACACTGGCTTCCCCTCCGGAAAAGGAGGAATTGCCAGGAGGTGGCCACACAGCCCCCTCCTTGCCTGCCCGCCACCCTGGATCCCCTCCGCAGTGCCCGGGGCTCAGGGGCAAGGGGACAGCCACACTGCCAAAGGGCCCACTGCAGAGGATCTGGTCATGCGATGCACCAGCCTCCCGTCAGCAGTTATGGGTCAAGCAAAGCTTTCGGAGGGCATGGACAGGACGCGGCTTCTGCGTAAGCGAGGAGGCGGTGCGCATCAACCGGCCTCCTCTCCAGCGGGCGCTGAGAGCAGCAGCAGGGGTGCCATGCAGAACCAGGCGGGACCACTCACCAGGCGCAAATTCCGGATCACGTCGCGCTCTCTGGGCTGAGCAGCAGGTGACAGCCGAGCGAGAGGGAAGCAGAGGTCAGAACCCAGCAAAGAGAAGAGACAGACAAACAGCACAGGGAGCGGCAGACAGACAACCCAGAGGAAGTGAGAGAGAAACAGAGTCCGGAGTAGCTCTTGCATTAGAGTGCGCAGGCAGGCTCAACCTGCCATAGAGGGGGTGAGGAGGAGGAGGTGGCAGCAGGGGGGCGCTGGAGGGCGGCAGCATCCCAGGTGTCATTCTAAGTACCACTCTTGGGTGGGAGCAATTTGGTGTCCATGCATCTCACGCCTTCATCCTCCTTCCGAAAAGCCTCTCTCTTAACTCAGGAGGCCACTAAGATGGCACTCAACCTCCACAGATCTCCTTTGAGCGTCCCGAAGGCCGGCTGCCATTCCTCTTCCCGAACAGCACCAGTGATACCGCCTGTATCTCTATTGGCGCAGGCATCTGACATGGAGGTGGTAGAGGAGACGTCCCCCTCCAGCTACTTCTTTGGCCACAGCACAGCCGGGGCTGGGGTGACTCCCGTGGTGTTGGGCCTAGACGTCCAGCCCCTGGGGAACCCAGCTCCGAGGAAGGGGTCCTGGCAGAAGAGGGCAGGAGCAGCTCCCTCCCCAAAGCCTCTGACCGGCCATGCAAGGGTTGAGCAAGAGGGAAGCTGCTGCTCGGACTCCTGGCTCAGGCCAGGCGACAAAAGGGTGCAGGCAGTGTGCAGCTGGGGAGGAGGTGCAGAGCAATCTGCAAACAGGAGGCAAGGGCGGCAGACGCTGGTGGGGCGGCGGCACAGCGCTGGGGACCCTGGTGCAGAAGCTTGAGCTGCTTCCTCTGGAGCTCGGGTGGGAAGAGTGGCACTGCCCACCGAGCCCCGAGCAGCAGGTGCAGGAGGCCACGTACCAGAGTGTCCCCTGAGAGCACTTCCAGCAGTGAGATCAGGTTGTGTCCATCTCGCAGGTCCTCGTAGAGGTCATTCACATGGCGCTGAGCCTGTGGAGGCAAAGAGGGATTGAGAAGTGGACCCAGCTGGCAGGCGACTGGGGTACGGTGGGTGTGGGCTTGCTAGGCATGCCAGTCTGGCAGCCACGCCCATGCCAGTTCAGGGAGGTGGTTGCACCCAGCCCCTGCCCTCCATTTGGCTTTGGGGTTGCCTCTAAGAGGCTTGCTCTTCACCCCCACCCCAGATAGCCTGTTTCAGGCAGCCATCACCAGAGGAAGAGGAATTCCTGGAGAATAAAGGGAGGGAGGGAGGGAGGGAGGGAGGGAGGGAGGGAGGGAGGCAGGCAGGCAGGCAAGCAGGCAGGGGGTCAAAGCCCAGCCTGCCTTGGCACATACCTCTGCTCGCCAGTGCTGTTGCCAAGGCAGGTGAGAAGAAAGAAAGAAGGAGAGAGAGAAGCATCAGGGAGAGATGGAGAGAGAAATCGGGATGGAGAAATGCCCACAGAAAGCACCTCACAAATGGGGGTCCTGCAACCAGCCCCCAGGCTTCCCCCATCAGCCCAACTGGTGGCACTTCCAACTGCTGTGCCTGGGCAGCATGAGGTAGAGCTCCCAAAGCAGAGGAAAGCAGCCAGTGGTGGGTTCTATAGAACTGGTAGTAAAACCGGAGGGAGGCTCCACTCAATGACCCCGACGTCATCAGAACGCTTCTGCGCATGCACAGATGATCACGCGCACGGCCCCGTTGCGAACCGGTAGTAAAGGTAAGTAGAACCCACCCCTGAAAGCAGCCCCCAAGAGACGGCTGCCCTTCTGGGCTCCTGCTGCAGTTCCCCAGGGCAACCCCTCTCCATCACCCAGAGCCCTTCCCCAGAAATCCCACCCCATCTGCAGGCACAGCTCCGGGGCTCTCAGCCCGAGCCCAGATCCATGATGTGGGGAACACAAAGACTCTGTGCCCCCAGAAACTGGGTCAGGGACCAGGAAGAGGGTCTCCTTCAGGGAAAGGAAAGGAAGAAGGAAAAGACGTTGAAGCCAGTTATGTCCCCAATGGTGCCTAGAAAATGGTGGGTGGGTGGGACGGATGGCGGCTGCACTGTTGTGGCCCTCCTGCACACAATCCACTGCTCACAGCCACATCCCTGGGAAAGCTCAAGGCCCCCAGAACTGGCATCCTTTCTGCCTGGCTCAGATCCAGGCAGGGAGGTTGACACTCGTTCTCCAGAAGCTGCCCGAGACCACCCAGCTCCCCCCCCCCCAGGGAAAGGGGGGCTTACCTTGAAGAGGTGCTTGTTGACCCATTTGGTGAAGGTTTTCTTCTGGACCCGGTCCCGCTCATCTGCAAGAGAGGACGTGTGTGTGTATGTGTTAAGTGGGGCCTATGGAAGAAGGGAGTAAACCGAGCAGAGAGGATGGGAAGGAAACCCGCACTAGGAACCTCCACCTCTCCAGAGGCTGGCCAGGGACAGGCGAAGACCCCTCAGTGGGCTCACACTCTCTTGCCAACCCCCCCGTCCCCCCCGGGCTCCTCTGGAGGCCTGGGCAAAGGAGGGGCTCTGCCATATCCCAGCACAGCCTCACCTCCTCCACCAGCAGCAAGGAGAGGCCTTGTGGGATGGGGTCGCTCCCCCTTGCACAGATCTCCAAAGGGTGCCTTGGGCTAACTGGGCCATCAGCCCCCCTGCATTCAGGTCTCAGCTGCTCTCTCGTACCCCCAACCGATGCAGCGAGACTCTTCTGTCCCGGTCACTCACTCTGGCACAACACAGACCTCCTGTTGATTCACCACTCATCCTTCCCCACTGCAACCCACGTTCCTTTGAGTCCCCCCTTGTGACGGCTCTGGGCTTTCAACCTAGGCTTGCCTGATGCACCAATTCCAGATCACACCCTGGGCAGAAACAGACTTTTCTCCCTTCCCACTATTGCTTCCTCTTACCCCTACAACCCTTGCAATACAGGACATTATATCTGTTTTCTTTCTGCCGCATTTGGACAACTTAACAAATTTTCACCCAAAATCCTTTTGACAGGTTACTTTTCAGATTTGTACCACAGACGCCACCGAGCCAGTTTTGGCTCTGAACGGCACAGAAAGCCAGCCAGCCACAGTAACCTCTGCATGAGACAGTCGGGCCTCCCCCTTCCCCCTTCAGGACTTTGAACGGCCAACCCGCCCGGATCCCAACATTCCACTTATTCTCAAGATGCTGGGCTTCCATCAAACCTTCTTCTGACCACAATCAACCACCGTCCTCTAACCCCAGAGCATTCCCCACCTCAGCCCTGTTCACTAAACCAACATTCATATCGTTCTCACGGAGCTGCTTAGCAGAGAAAAAGTAGCCTGCACACCACTTGCAGACAAAGCCACCCCTCCACTGCCAGCTCCCAGGCCCTTCCCATGGGAACCTGCCTTCCTGGGGCCCCTCGTGTCTCCACACACAGCCTGCACAGCCGCACCAAACCCAAGCCACGTCCATGTCTCAACCTTTCTCCCCAACCCCATCTCCACCCGGAACCTGACCAGTTTTCAAAATTCTCAGAGCAATTATAACTTCTTTTTTCATCATTTTTGCTTGGATGTTGGTTCCAACTCCACACTTTAATATATTCTTATCATTTCAGTGCAAACCCTAAAATTCTTTCCCCACTCCTTCTCTCCGGTTTTCACTCCAAATAATGTTCTTATTTATAATTCCACTCACTCTGCGGAAGCCTTCTTGTTTAGTCCTCTTCATTTAATCCCCAAACAATTAATTTCCATTAGAACTATTCTGCATTTTCTCTGCCTCTTTTAATCATTCTCTTGCACCTCACTCACGAGGTCTCCTATTTCATCATTTGTCCAGCATCCTTTTTATATTTCCTGTTACTGTAACTCCCGCACTTCTGTGGGCCCCTGTGAGAATTCCGCTAAGTATTTTCAAAGCAGATTCTGCATCTTCTTTTCTCATATCAACTTTTCATTCATTCTCTTGGGGAGAATAATCAGTTTTTCCAGCAGCACATTCGTTTTTCTTTTACTTTTCCTTGCAATTCTTCTCATTCCTTTTTCCCCATGATCCACTCCTGACCTCCAACTCACGTACAACGTTAGGCCTACTTGCAATGACACCAGGTCCTACTTTCCAGCATATATTTTGGTTCCATCATTCATAACAAAGCCAACCCACCCCAGGTGCTCCTCTGCTGCAGAAGATCTGCTCACCCTTGCCGCTTGTACTGGCGTCATGGACCTTATGCGTTTTTCTTTCCCCCGTTGATTCACTTGGGCTCTTTTCCACTTACACAAACCCCCTCCCCCTTACACTATAAACTGCAATCTTTAATACCCCGTCCTCTCACCAGATGGGCCCATCTCTGCTGCGGATCATGGTTTGGTCAAGGGAGGCTCTCACGTGACAGACAGACAGACACAGACACATCAAATAGAACAGGCCAAAGTCCCACCCTGCCCCAGGCTACGTTCCCTGTGGACGGGGTGTCTATCTGGCCAGGATGCCACCAGCACAAAAGAGACCAGGTTTTACTCAAGAGTAAATCAAGCACCCCCTCATTTTTCAAGCCAAGCCGCTTTTGGGAAGGACCAAACTCTCGCCTGCATCCCAACAGTTGGCAGGAGCACAAGCAGCCTGGCTCTTGGCCAGAATCCTGGCAAAACAGCCTTTCTTCAGAAAGCTGCTGGCAGCTGTGCGCCTGATGCTTTGGTCGGCTTTATTTATGATGGGATGCTCTGGATGGTAGAATGAGAAAGGTCCCTCAAGGGCTAAGGCAATATTATCGATCACAATCCACTCGAGGTCTGGATGTAAAAGATCATTACTCCATATGGTGAGCGAGCGGAAGGCCCGGGAGGAGGGTGGCCAATGGAGGAAGAGCAAGCGCCGGGGGTGTGGGGGGACCAGCCAAGGTCGGATCAGGCCCGGCACAAGCGCCCACCAGCCTCCCCGGCAGCGCTGCTGCCCTTCCCCTCGAGCCTCCTGCCAGCCAACCCCCTTCGGGCCAGGTGGGGCCGCGGCTTCGCTGAGGCAGCAGCCTGGCGTCCCAGCGCCCTCCCCCAGGTGTGCTCCCCCCGTCCGCCCCGGCTCAGCAATCGCCGACGGGACCTTCGGGCGCTTCCCTTCTTCCTGCAGGACTTGCCTGGGATCAGCAGCAGCGGCCGCCGCCGCCGCCGCCGCCGGCCCGCCCCCTCCGGCAGGGTCCACGCGGGTCGAGGAAAAGCTCCCCCCCGCGGGAACGCTCGGCAGGGCCCGGGCCGTTCCCTCCGCCCGACGAGCCTTTGCTCCCCACGCCGCGCACCAGGAAATGGCCCGGAGGCAGAGCGGGGAGGCTCGGCGGCGCCGGGGAAGGCGACCTTCGAGCGCGGCAAAGGCGGCAGGGTAAGCGGACTCCGGAGGACCCGCAGCCGCGGCCCCCACCCCGTACCTTTCTTGCCCTCGGAGGCGCGCAGGACGGCCTTGTACAGGTTCTCCTCGGAGCTGCCGGGTTGCATCAGCCCCCCTGGGGAGGGACCCTGGCCCCCCGCCCGGCTGCGCCCCCTCGGCCGCGACATGGGCGCCCCTGACGCCGCTCGGCTCCTCACAGACACTTCCCCACTCCACGCGGACGCTCCCGGCCGAGGCTGCTACTGAGCGGAACAAGGTTGGCGCAAGCAGGCCAGGACGCTCGGCCCCCCGCCCGCCCTCCCTCGGAGCCGCTGGGCTGGGCGGGCCCTGGGCTTCCCTTGCCCCCCCCCCCTCTGCCTGCCTCGCCCGCCTCTTGCACAGGCAGGAAACCGCTCCCGGGCCATTTAACTGCTTCCCGGCCGGCCATCCCCGCAACGCCCAGATGAAAGACAAGAGAGAAAGACCCAGAGGGGCTCGAGCCCTATACTGGGGCTGGGGGAGGGGGATAACAAGCCCTGAGCCCCAGTGCTCTTCGCCTGCCCTCCGATGGGGAGGGGGGCTCCTGAGCAATCCCAGGGAAGAGGAGGGGGCGCCTCTTCCCTGGCACAGCAGCCTTGCCCACAGAGAGCACAAAAGGGGCTTCCAGTGTCGCTCCCTTCAGGCTTGCCCACCTCTCAGAGTGGGTCTCTTGGGCCGCCATCAGGGCTACTCTGGGTGGCTGTTGCCCACAGGGCAAGGGCAGCCCACCCCCTCCGCCCCCCCCATCCAGGCTGCCTTGATTCTGAGCGGCAGCCAGAGGCACATGAGATCAACTGCTCTGGGTTTCTGCTGTTCTGGGGGCTCCCCCCCCCATTCTAAAAGGGAGGGTGCATCCGGCCCTCTTCAGTCTGGACACGGGCAGAGACAGAGCACATAGGTAGAGCTGACGGTGGATCTGCCTCCGCCCAAGAGAACATTCATGTTCTGGGAGCAAAGGTTGCTAACTGTCAGGGCTGCACATCCCCAGGCAGCACATTCCAGGCTGGCCAGGCCCAGCCCCACCTAGCTCCGCTGAGGCAGACCTGGGCTGGGCCCAGACACAGGAATGCACGGCAACACAAGGGCTTCAAAGCCTCCCAGCAGCCCCCACTGCCACCGCCCATGCGTCTGGGGTGCCAAAGCACGTCAGAAAGGTGGGGCTGGGCGCTCATCCTGCCAGGGAAGCCGCCTGGAGCCAAACTCCCCACCCGCCTGAGTCACATCCCATGGAGGAAGCCAGTGGCCGCAGGGCACCACTCTGGAAGCAGGAGGGGATGGGAAGGGAGAGGGAGGGAGGGAGGGAAGGGCTCCCTCATTCTCCCCACTGCAGGAGCCAGGCAGAAGAGATGCATGTGCCTTGCCTTCCATCTGGAGACAATCTTATCCTGGCCTTCAGCTCACAAAACAGCAGTCAAAGGGGGCCTGCTTGATCACAAAATAGCTGTACCAAGCCAGGGGGTGAGCCCCTCCCCACTAGGACCCAGCTCTAGAACGTAAGGCAGCCCACAGCCCTGGATGGATGAGATCCTCCAGATCCAAACTTCTGCACAGGAGCAAAGGAAAGGAAGGGTTTTCCAGAAACTGGAAGTCATGAATGTGAAAGGACCTCATGCTGTACGTGAATCAGCAGCGCGAACCATCTGATAAAAAAAATGAATGGCGAAGATTTCAGCATTTTTAAAAGATTGTTCACAAGAGACTTATGAATGGGAATGGAAAAAGTGGATAGATTATGTTCAGAACAAATATCAAACTAGGAAGTATCAAATAGCTTTTATTTGAAAATGATATTTTAAGATAGAAATATTTCAATGTAATGAAGGTGAAAAAAATTATGAGGGGGAGGGAGGGGTTCAAGTTTTATATAAGTTTTATACTAAGGTTTTTTTTTTACCTGATATGAGTATATTGTGTGGAAGTCCGGGGGGAGGGG